ACAGATATACGAAAGCATGCCACCACCACTATAACCAGTAAGGAGGCAATACACCAATGAACCATGAAATTTCCAGTAATCTTTATGAAAGAAAAAATGTAAAACTGAGGAGATGATGGGGAAAAGAATGAACTGGTTTTCTTGAGAAGCATCACTGGTTGGCTGGCTACAACCCTGAATGGGGTGGGGGCATGTTAAGGATCAATGACAGCATTTTGTTGCAAATCTCACTGGTAATGCTAATAGCTTTATAGACTGAGCCTATACATGTCTATATAGAAGCCAAAGCCATTGAGTTCAATGGAGTTTAATCCCAAGTATACAGGTTTAGGACAGAAGTGTCTCATTTTTAATGGAAATATTATTAACAGGAAACAGAGAATTAAAAAAAATCTTATCCCAATATTGTTTCCATATTTAACGGGCAGATCCATTTTTTTTCAATTGGTGTTTCAGACAACATCCTTGAAACCTAACTCCACTGATTGCTTCATGGGCAATATGAATTAGGGGACCACAAGATTCCCTAACAAACAAACATTGAGAAAGAATCCAAACTGAAAAATACATCTCAAAACAAAGTGAGAGAAAGGATTACTATGTGTCCTTTAAAAGACATAAGGTAAGTAAAAATGAGAAAATAATGCTGCTCAGGAAGCCCATGCCAATTATTAGCACATTTGACTAGACATTTGAAGAATGACTAGCACATGAAAGACAGTCAAAGGACAGCTGAAGTCCTAAGTCACCTAGCAAAAACAGGAAGCAGGCAGACTCTGAAGAACTGAGGGACTCCCAATGCTGGTTCTCTGGTTATTTCAATAGTGTCCACCATGTTTGTGTTTCTGGCATATATAGAAAATGAGCCTGTTTGATGACAAATGCATTAGATCCATGGTTCAGATGTTCATGGTAGAGCACCCTGAACAGAGAACAATGCGAAAAGCTTGGTGTGGGGACCTGAAAAAGTTAGGAAATTACAGCTATCCCATGGTGGTGATGCTCCATAATAATAAATCATGATAATAAACTAGAATACCCCTGAGTGGCTCATGATAAAGGGGGGTGTATCTCAGCCATATTTTTCATGGGAGTGTCACTTTAGTCATTAGCTACCTATGAAAATATCCCTAAAGATTAGGCACTACATATAGAAGACTAGGGACGTGGTGGTGCTGCGGGTTAAACTGCAGAAGCCTCTGTGCTGCAAGGTCAGAAGACCTGCAGTTGTAAAATCGAATCCACGCAACGGAGTGAGCCCCCGTCGCTTGTCCCAGCTCCCACCAACCTAGCAGTTCGAAAGCATGCTAAATGCAAAATGTGAGTAGATAAATAGGTACCAGCATGGTGGGAAGGTAACAGCGTTCTGTGTCTAGTCATGCTGGCCACGTGACCACGGAAGATTGTCTTCGGAAAAATGCTAGCTCTGTGGGTTGGATGAGCACCACCCCCTAGAGTCGGACATGACTGAAGAAATTGTCAAGGGGAACCTTTTCCTTTACCTATGGAAGACTATATGACTTACATTATAGGGGGGGTCTTAATCTCCGCAACTTCTCTTGTGTATATAGATTTAATTGTTAGCACACAATTCCAGTCAGAAATAAATGGCTGGTATGATAGGGTGGTAGGTCAGCTTGATGACAGAAGGGAAGAGGAAAATTTACTGGGGAATAATAATTGTCTATATGTGACAAATTAAAGAAGATTGGGACAGGCTCAGAGAGCTCCTGCCATGAGACACATTAATATCATTGTTTTTATTTATTCATCCATGAATACCCCCTAGCCAATATTCTGATTGTGTAGTTTATACACAATAAACTACACAATAAAACCAATAGTAAAACAAACACAACACAATTTACACAAACAATACAAAACCAATAATCAAGGATGTTTAAATATATATATTGTTTTTGTTAGACATGTTGCAATAATATTAGAAGGTGAAGATAACTAGCAAATAAACACGAGAACAGCAAAGATAAATAAAATGTTAAAACCACAACTTTATAGGTATTTTAAAAGCCTCTGGGAATAAAAAGATCTAGATATGGTTCCAAAAAGTCAATATAAATAGTGAAGATGCTCAGATGATGTGATGTTTCCTCATACATGGAGCATGCCTTTATTTAACCGTTTCATACTCAGTGATGTTCCAGACACTATCCTAGAATTATCTGGTTTGATTTTAAGCCTTGCCTATCTGGCATTTTTCATGACTGTCGGACATGACATGGTATCTCAGTGGACAGGTTCTGCCTCAGATGCTCTACCCTTAATAACCCTGATGTCTTCTCAGGCTTCTGAACCACTGCAGGTAGTACAATTGTGGTGTAGTCACCGCTTGAAAGGAATCCTGGTCTCATGAGCCATATTGTACAAAATGGTTTGCCAGACATAGCTAATTATGGAAACACTCCCCTTATATTTGCCATCAAGTTGTTTTTCACTTAAAGAGAGCTTCCAAATGAGTGACTTCCAGTAAGGCCCATCACTAATAGCCCACCTTAGGTCCTGTAATGCAAGGCTGCTCCTTGATTTCTCCTGTTGCCTTCAACTTTTTACTGCATTATTTTCCTATCTAGTGAGTCTTGTCTTCTTTAGGGAGGTGTTTCCACTGGTGTGGAAGAAACTTTTATAATTATCATGTGGGAAACTATTTGCAACATACACCTGGCCACATGGAACAGCTTGCTTGCTTTTCAAATGAACTGGGCCTAAAGTCTGAAACAGACCACATATCTCACAAGAAATTTGCCGAAATGCCTACACTCCTTATATTTGTTTTCTACATGGTGATGGTAATGTCAGACAGTTGGCTTACACATAGTTTCACCTAACCACATGAGGACTCATCAGACACCACACAGACAGGCATCAGGAAAAAAACAATCCTTCATCACATCTAGACCGAGTAAAGACTTTGGCCAATCAATGCAGCATCAACACAACAAGCAGAATTACACTGCCTCCTCCTCTTTATAATCCATTCCCTGAGTGGCAGGACTCTTGAACGATTCCCTCATAGGTCTGGCCCTTTATTGCTTTGAACAGTTCTTAGGGAGGTGTCCAAAACCTAAAGAGCAATGAGACTACAACAGGAAACATCATGTCAGCTTCCCTTTTTTTCTGCATGAACAATAGGAAACTAGACCATGCAGCCTTTTAGGTAGGCCCTGCTGTAGGTGAGCAAAATGTAGGTATCTGTGGGCATGGGCTTGTGGGCTGAAAATCTCAGAATTTTACCTGGAATTCTTGAAGAAACTGGAAAGTTCAAAAATGTGAAAATGCACACCCCAAATGCACATTGTCAAGACTGAATAGTGTGTTTGATGTGACTTGAAGGTTCTTTTAATAGTGTTTTATCTTTTTCAATGTGCTTCTTCTACATGCTAAGCTGGGGGGGGGGGACTGCTCTTTCCAAACCTGTTGTCCTGGTTTTAACATGCTCCAAATGTAATTTGCCACAAACTTGCTCATATAAATAAATCCAAGTCTGAAGGGGAAAAAAACCTAGCTGTTTTCCAGGGTGACATGCTACTGTTGAAAATTCTTTAAAAATGATTTAAAAGAAAGGTTTTAGCAGGACTGGGGAAACGTACAGTCATGATGACTGTGTCCAAAAACGGACAAGATGTTCATGGAAAATTTGCTGGTTAATAACTATCAAGAAAGTAAGAAACATTGAGCAAAGTTCTATTAATTTAAAGCTCTTTGTATTATTTACTTTATGGCTCAGGTTCAAATCCCTATTCAGCCATGAAGGTCTCTGAGTGACTTTGGGTCAGTTTCACTCTCCAAGCTTGACCTTCCTCACCTGGTTTCTGGGAAAATAAAATTAGCAGAACTGAATACTCAACACCGATTTCCTTGGAGAAAGAATGTGTTTGGAATGTAATAGATCTACACATGCACAAATAAATGCTGGTGCAAAACACAAGAGTTCGGGAAAGGTTTTGCTGTTGTTTTTTTGGTGGGTGGGGGCAAATTCCACAAATGTTCTGGCTGCCTGTTCTGTCGCTGGCAGTTGTACTGTACTCGCAAAAAGGGTAATGCTTCCATGTTCTGGAGTTTCATTTCTCCCAGTAAGTCTTCCATTAACTGAAACTGCGTTCTAAATGTCACACAGAGACACACACAGAGTTGCTACATAAGCCTGCTTTTTTTGAGCAGTGCCAAGCTGCCGCTACAGTATGCCGATGGCTTTGAGATTAACACCAGAGCAAATGGTTGAAGCTGCAAGTGTCAACTAAGGTCAGAGAGGTCACTGAAGTTTGGAAACAGTGCCTGAGGTGCAAAGCCAACTGCTGCACTGTCGCTAAATAAAAAATGCCCATAAAATCCCACAAGGAAGGCCCAAGACACAGCCTCCTCAGCCTCGGAAGGGCACCCAGGAACAATTAAAAGAAAAAATCATTGCAGCAACAGAAATTGGGGCCCTATCATCCTTTGGGGTTGCTCCAGGAGTATACAAAAGCACGTTCACTGCCAAGAGCAGACTTCTCCTTGGCTTGAATAACCTGCTTGCCACCAGCTATTTATTGCAAAAGGCGATCTGCAAAGCGTAGGCCTTCAAACAGAAGCTGACCGTCAATCGCTCCCCCCCCGCCGCTGCCACAGCCCCCTTTCTCAAAACAAAGGCGAAAAATGCGCACCAACAAGAAAAACAGCTGAACCAGGAGAGAGAGCGAGGGAGAGCTTTCCACAGCAATCCCTCGCACAATAAGTCCCGCCCCTGAGCACTGCCGCCGTCCAATCCGCGCCAGCCGTGACAGGGAAAGTTACTGACACAGCGCTCTCTCGCTCTCCCTCTCTTCACCCCCCCTTTTTTGTGTGGAAGGGAGAGCAGAGAGCACAGGGTAGGGCGCGAGAGTTGGTGGTGGAGGAGGAGGGGTCAGGGAGAGGGCCACGGCTCATTTGCATGACCCAATAGCATGGCCGCATGCAAACGAGGTGCGAGGCGGTTGGCTGGGGGTTGGCAGGATAACTCCGGCCGAAGCAACCCTTTGTCCCTCACACCGGTTGCGGTGGCGCGTCGGGAGGATAAGGTTCGCTGCGGGCTGGCCGAAGGGTCCGGCGGGCGTTGGGGCTGCAAAGCGTCCCCGGGGGAGGGGGAGAAAAAAAAAAAAGAAAAGGGCCGGGAGTAAAGTTGCAGCAGCAGCAGCAGCAGCAACGCCTGCGGGTGGGGCAGCTCTCCAGCGACAAAGGCGTCCCGGTTCACCTCAGGGCAGGTGGAGCCGAGCCAGCCCGTCCAGCAGTGCGTCAAAGAAAGGGAAGCGGAGGAGAGCAGGGCAAGGGCGCCCGATTCCCCCCAGCTGGCCTCCCTCCTTCCTCTCCCCTCCTGATTGCAGGAGCTTCGGAGCTGCAACATGACTCTGGAAGAACTCGCGGGGGAACACCAGACCTTTGGAAGGTACAGCTGGCCGGCCCGAGAGAAAGAGACTGAGAGAGAGAGAGAGCCAGGCGGCGGGCGGGGAATGGCCTGAAGAGACTTTTTTTTAAATTGTTTTTTAAAAAAGCCCCCATCACCAACGCTTCTCGTTTTCGGAATTCGCTTCGCGGGGCAAGCGGGGCGCGAACCGCACACCTCGCCTCCGCCGCCCTCAGGAGGCGATCGCCCGCCGCCTCACCGTTCGTGACGGGGAAGCGCGGTGGTGCAAGGATTCCTGACGGGGAAAAGGAAAGCGGTGTGGGAGCAAGGGGAGGAGGAGGTCTCTCCGCTGGTGGTGGTGGCGGTGGCGGTGGTTGTGAGGTCAGAAAACCCGGTGGGCTGCGTGGGTGCGTCTGCGTGAGGGGAAAGGCGGCCCGGCTCCTGACAAGGGTCGACCGCAGTTGCGAAGCAGACAAAAAGGGATCGCGATGCATGCTTGAACCCGTGCTGAAGCCGGACTTTCTCGCTGCCGTTATCTCGTTCCCCCTCTCCTTTCCGAGGCGATCACTTCGGATTAAGGGGATTTTTCAGTTCTGCAGGATAGAAGAGGGTTGGAGAAGGAGGTGGCCCAGGCTGGCACTTAAAATTCTGTGTGTGTTTGGGTGTTTTTTTAAAAAAATCTGTTTTCGTAAACATTTTGGCTGTCGTTTGAAGTGGCCTCTTCTTCTTTTTTGGGGGCATCTTCCACCAGCATGGAGAAAGTAGGGGACGCCTTGGAGGAAGTCCTAAGCAAAGCCCTGACTCAGAGAAGCATCACTATCGGCGTGTACGAGGCTGCCAAGCTGCTGAATGTGTAAGTGAGAGCTGACTTTTCTGGTGTCATAATACTAATAAAAATAAGAGGAGGAGGAGCAGCCACCCAGCGAGCCCTCCCATGTTTCTTAAGCTGCAGCTCCTTAGGGCTTTTGGGTGCAATCTTGCCCTACCTGAGGAAACACGTTCTGTGTGCTTTATGCAGACAGAAAACCTCTTGGTGCCTCTGCCTATATCATCATTATATAAATGTTTGCTGAGCTTGTATATGTGTGTGTATCACACATGCACAGTTTCTTGATGGGTTGAATTTTAGCAGAGGTTTCCCCCTTCTGTGCTACCCACAATGCAAGAGTTCTAAACATCCAGTGACAGTTGGCACAATGGGAACTGCTGACCAGTGCTTTTGAAAGGCGCTATTCAGTTTTGTGCTGAAATGTATTCACACTGATCCCCCCCACCATTCTGTGGGCTTTGATAAGAGGTGATGAGTGCTTAAAAATTCAGTTTTCATCATCCAAGGTGTGTGTAGGATCAACATGCCGATCCATGATAAATATTGCAAACACTACTGTATAGTTAGTATGTGTTTCTAGCAAGGCCCTTGACTTGTTCCTGTTTTGTCTCTTACGCTCACATTGTAAAATGCATCATTGTTAGTTGGGCAGTGACTAAATTGCTGTGCATTGTCTTATCCCTGCAGGGATCCAGATAATGTGGTGCTTTGTCTGCTGGCAGCGGATGAGGAAGACAACCAGGATGTTGCTTTACAAATTCACTTCACTCTGATCCAGGCTTTCTGCTGTGAGAATGACATCAATATACTTCGAGTGAGCAACCCAAACCGGCTGGCAGAATTGCTACTTCTGGGGGCAGGCGGAGGGAGCGAACAGCCTGCAGACCTACATTGTGTACTTGTGACAGTAAGTGCTAGACTTTGCTATTAACATATGGTCCACAAATTCTACCACACTAGAGTGACCTCACTGTTGCTTAAACATTTCCTGCTTGGGTGTGAAGAGCAGTGTTTCATTACATGAGTTTGCATTGCAAATTTTGAAAATCTGTCTTAAAAACTACTCACACTCTTAATTTTTTAAAATCACATTTTGGACTTAATTATGTTCACCATCTCCTGCTAGTTCATCTGTCTCTTATTTGAATGAGAATCCAGGTGACCGTTTCCTTTGTGCAAATCGTATCACATTTCTTCTTTGGCTCGTGGTATTTTCAAAGTAAAGACATGTTCAAACATGTTCTATCCTGTTGACGACAGAATACAACCCCATGAGTCACCTCTCTACAGTAATTCCCTGCCTATATTTGTCTTTCCTTGTTACTAATTGGCGCAGAGGTCATTAGCTAATAGCTCAATGTAACTGACAGAATGACCTGTCAGTGTTAACTAAGTGCTGATGGGATTGATTGTGATTTGTGAACAGTTGAAATGTTCAAGGTAATCTAGGAACCAGGTTTCAAGCAGTTACTTTTCCAATGTTAATCTTACAAATAATTTTTAAAATTAAATATTCCAGGTTATATTGTTAACACTACTTATACACATATGTGTAATACAAAAAAGAGGGAAATTTATTGACAGTGTTTAGCCCTTATCCAAAGCTAGGATATAGGCAATTTCCTCAAATTTCCAAATAAATAAGTAAATAAATAAATTTACAGACTAATTCTCCTCAAAAGAGGGGGAAAAGGACAATTTCCACTTGTTTTGGACAATTTCCATACTACAGCCTCTTGTTTCTTCAAGCTGGAAAGACAAAAGTTAGTTTGAAAATAGTTTGCAGAATATGCCATACAACAGATTATGTTGTGACATTTTGCTCTGAAAAACTGAATGTACTGTACTGTACATGCCTGCTCAGAAATGGGCCTCACTGAGTTCACTTGAACTTACTCCAAAGTGAGTGAGAACATGATTGCAGCCATTTGTGGCATTTATCCACAGGCATGTTTTACTGTCAACAGCACTACCTTATATTTTATACTGAAAAATCTCTCCATTTCCTTACAGAATCCACATGCTTCTCAATGGAAGGATCCAGCCCTTAGTCAGTTGATTGGTTTTTGCCGGGAAAGCCGCTACATGGATCAGTGGGTCCCCGTGATTAACCTTCCTGAGCGGTGACAGCATTTGAATGGAACTGAACTGGATAGCGGAAAAAAGATGCACTGAAGTTTCAAAATACTTTAGTAGTTTGCTCAGGAAGTGATTTCCCAGCCTGACACAAGGGTTACAGTAACTGATGTCAAGTCGGTAGGTTGCGGTTGGACTACACACTGTGTGAAACTGAAGGATATTTAACTTTGCTGGTGGAAGATGATGGACCTGAAGTGGAAGTTATGTTGAGGGAGCAATCAGAAATCATCAGAGGAAGTCTGAACCCTGCAAGAAGGTTGCGAAAGTGATGTGGCATAGTTTCCTTAAAGAAAACACACTTAATATGCTTTGTTGGAGTTGTCAAAGAGCAACTTCTTAGTTTCTATACTTGACAGAGTGAAAAAGTTCATTATCCTCAAAACAAATTCTGTTTTGTGTCAACATTCTGATTTCTTAAGTTTTTATTCTAAGAAATACTAAGTTATTTTATATGGACAAAAGATTTATTTATCCTTACAGGTGTTGAAGAGCATCCTGCTTGCACCATTCATATTAAAATGTTTGAACTGATACCTTTTAATAAATTGTTTGAAATTGGACTATGTTTTCTGAAATAAACATTTAAAAGGCATGAAAGAATCAGTGTTTGGTTTTATCATGGGTGATACAAGGAGCTGGTTCTGGCAACAGTGATTCGAGAAAACTGATGGTCAGTACTCGGTAAGGTGTTTCTACATTATTGAATTGCTTCCTCCTGTGGAGCTAGGAAGGGTGTCCCACCTGCCAGCAGCAGGTGAACCCTCAGAAACTGATTAATATTAATCATGTGACATCAAATCAATTCTGATTTGTGGCAATCCTTTTCAGGGTTTTCTAGGTAGAGTACTCACAGGTGGTTTACCATTCTCTTCTTCTAGGGGTGTCCTGGGACAGTGCAGCTTGCCCAAAGCCACACAGGTTGGTTCTACTTGCAGGAGGCAGTGTGGAATCAAACTCCAACCTCTGGCTCTGTAGCCAAATACCTAAACCATGAGCTATTCAGAAATGGTGTTCAGGTGGTATAGAGAGCTGTTTTGGGAATTCAGAAAGCTGTCATAATAGCAATGGAGTGCTATCATAATATTGAATTCAAGTCAACAGCACAAGACATTTGTGGTGACTTAGGCTGCTGGCCCAATATTTTAATATTTGCACATTACTTTTGGAAATGCCTTACAACGGTATAACAGCTGCAAATAATGGGACATCCAGAACTAGAAATATAGTTTTCACTATTTGTCCTTACCTCCTCCAGCATATACAGAAAATGGCTTACATATATATTCCTGCACAGGGGCAGAGGTGAACAAAACTTCAAAAAATAAAGACTTACAAAAAGATCCAAGGTTTACAATATTACAGAGTCCTAAAATGGAAGAGAAGTTGGCCTTGCTTGCTTTTATCATCGCCTTACTACCCACACAGGAGTCACACAGTTAATTTTTAAAAATGCAAAGAAAAGAAACATTGTTTGGGTATGGAGGGAAGTTGTTGCTAATTCCATTCCAGGAAATAGCCAGAGGTGCCTTTGGTCAGCCATGTGTTTGCCAGATAACTTCATCAACAACACATGCATGCTCTTAAAAGAATTAAATACTTTTCCATTTGACAAATTTTTGGCACAATTTATTTAGGGAAAATTCTAATACAACACCTGTGCACTCTTGAGGAAAGATTTTCTGTATGCAACGGATGCACATATCTGATAAGGCATGGGTCTGCTTATCTGAAGGACCCACTGGTCCTGTGATGTTAAACAAATCAAAGCTGTGTGTGAATAAGTGCAGCAAGTCATATGCTAAATGTCTGTCAAAGGCTTAAGAGTTTATCTTAATACAGGTAATTTGACATACCTCCTATTTCACTTTTCTGTTGTATAAACCAAATATTACTGCCTCAGCTGAGAGCTGTTTACAAAATTCAGAGAAAGGCATACCTAAATCCCATTCAAAATGGGCAGCTTATAACTGAAAAGTTTGATTGGGGTCTTGTGAGTTTAAAATTCCAGCTATAGCTGCAAATTTTGTTTTAGTATCAGTGGACTGTTAAGAGGGATCCACTGAATGGGTTAAGCATTATGCACAAAGAAAGCACTGCATTAGTATATTACATTAAAGAAACAAAAGAAAGGGCAGATTTGTTTACTTTGCAGAATTCCATGGAAGTATATGTAAACATTCTGACTCTAAAATGTTGAGGGCAAGCATACAAAGAGGCTAAAGAATATTATGGTTCACAAACAATATGAAGTCAGGGCATTTGGGTTGATGCTAAAATTAACATATTATGATGGGAAATGTACAGGGAATTGAATTCGTAAACAGTTTTCAGGGTATGGACACTCAAGGAGATGTCAAAGGTTTATACATCTGAAAATTCAGATTCCGTATTAGATACCAGAGCAACCCAAGACATTTGTGTTTCAAGGCAGAAAACTCAGTTAGTGCTCCCTGTGGTGATACCACATAATCTTGACATCTGCAAACTACCTAAGTTCTGCTCAAGGACAGGGCACACCTTGTTAAGGAAAGGAACACATGCCACTTGTAGATATACAATCCAGAGCAGTGATAGGCAACGTAGTGCCTACTTCCTTATATTTTGGATGACCACTCATGTAAACCTTCACCAGTATGCCCAGTGATTGGGTCTATGGGAGCTGTATTCCAATACATCTGCCCGTCCCTGCTATAGAGAATCTCTTCAGTTCTTTCTGTCTTCCCTTTCTGAAGTAACTACAATCAACAATGGTGTCAAATTGTTGGAAAGAGCAATGGGCTTCTGGAGCCAGCTTCCTTGAAAGACAGCAGTTCAAGCTGCTTTCCAGGCACCTCGAAGCATCCTGGCTGCCAAAGGACCTTGTGATGCACACCTTGCTTTTCCCGAGGTAAGAGCCTAGTCTGAGAGTGAATAACAAGTTGGAGGCAGGCCTTGCTAAGGGCATTTTATAGGCATGACGGTAAGACTGCACAGGTTAGATAAGCAGATTCCATTTACTCTCAGATCTCAGCAAAGTCTGCCCTGTTTCACTTCTTCTGTGTATTGTGCTAAGGCAATGCCCCCTCTCTCATGGGCACAACATGTTAAGCCGTTCAGTGCGCACCAGTGTAAACGACACGTGCAGAAAAAAAGCAAAGTGTGCTGCTTATATATCACACCATAATGCTTAGAACACTCTCTAGGCAGTTTACTATTATTATTATTATTATTATATAGACTACACATTGCTCCAACCCCCCCCCCCATGAGCTAGGTGTACATATTTTATCAACCTCGGCAGGATAGAAGTCTGAGTCCACCTCCAGTCAAGCTGTCAGATCCGTTCGTATGGAACGCTGACCACGAGCAGTTTTGACTGCGTTACTACAGTGTAACCACTGTGCCATGAGGCCCCAGAAGCAGCCCAATAGAATGCAGTTCAGCTCACAGGGAACTGGGATGGTAAAAGAGAATCTCAAACTTACGTGACCTTCCACTGCTACTATACTGTTCCAGCGGAACTATCCATTCTACATTGGATAGTGAATTTGTATTACTTAGTTTGTCTGTTTCATTTATAGCCCACCTTTCCCCTAACGCAGGGATCCAAGGAAATTTACAACTCATTTTTTAAAAGGACCTGAATGATAATATTCAAGTGCAATTAAATATGTAATTCTTATTGCTCTTTCGCATATGACCATATAATAAATATGTAACAAGAACAATGACCACTAAACGTAGAACAATTAAAATAATTTTAAAAAATGAAAATGTGGCATCCCCCCCATTAACATCTTTCTCTACAGCTCACTCTGTTGCCAAAAGTTTATCTGTCAACCTAGCTCACATGGAGAGGAGTTCCAAGCCCAGAAGTAATGATCAAAAAAGCCCTCTCTTTTAACCTCACCAGATATGCCCGTGATAGTGGTAGAAACAAAGAGAAGGTCCTTTTAAGGTCTTAGAACCCAGGGAGAGTCATATGGCTGGTATTTCAGACAGTCTTGACTGCAGTAATACAGAGCTTTACAGGTCATAAAGAGCAGAAGAGACACTGTTCAAAACAGAGAACTGCATGAATGGAATGTTGTGATCTTGTTCAGCACTCATTGCACTGCACGCGTAATGCTTTAATGATAAGTCAAAGAAACAAACAAGGATAGAAAAAGAGGGATGCAAGCAAAAAAAGGAAATTAAACACCACTAAGCCAATATTGCCATTCGGTAGCTAGTCACAATTGAAAGCAGGGAAATGAACAGGACAAAGAACAAGGCACTAAAAATGGAAGAAACCACACAGTTGTTTGAAAATTTATCCCCTGAAATCTTGTTTTGCATGCCATTTTAAGTTTCAGCCTTCAAAATAAAAAAAAATGCAAAATAAAATACACATTTAAGGCATACTACCTTTGAAAGTATTTTTCCACTTTAACCTTTACAAAATGAAGAGGCAGAAATATCAGTCATTAAAGTATTATATGAACACTTTTTGTTAGAAATTGAACAGTAAGGACACATTATTATCTACGGAGGTCATCCAGAGAGCTATCATCTAAGAATTGCTGTGATGGAATTTTGCACATGTCTGAATGGAAGGAATGGAGGTGGTTCATCAGCAAAAGCCAGATGGATGGAACCAGATGGCCCAGTATCCTGCACATAGTTAAAGATCTATGACTAACTGCTGATGAAATTGCAGTTAAACTGTGTGTATCTGTAGAACTGGAAATTAGTTTGCTAAGTCATCGCTTGAAACTGCTGGAATGAAAACCTAAAAAACAATCACTATCTTGTCCTCATTGTTTGTGCTAGTTGCTTAGTACACATAAAAAATGTCAGAGGAGGGAAAAGCCAGATTCTGCTTACAGCTATAAAAGTGCCAAGCAGTATTATCTGGAACACTCTGAAGTTGCATTCAAATAGCAGAGTCCCGGTTGCCACTTCAGACACTCCAAAATTAGGGGAAGAAACAAAAGAACTGAAGGACAAAGGAACATCACTACTCTTTCCAAAATCTTTGCCCAGAATGGGCAACCTGATGCTTTCAGGAGGTTTTGGACTACAACTCCCATAATTCCTTACCATTAGCTATGCCAGCTGGGTTGGGGGGGAGGTCTGGAAGTTGGAAGTGCAAGAGATATGGAGGACAAAAGATTCTTCACCACTGTTTTAAAAGGGTATATTTCCAGACAGCAGTGCCCAGTTTCACTGCTGCAAAAGGGACAAGAAGGTATTCCATATACAGGTGAGCAAGGAGGGGAAGGGGAGGGGGATGCCATGTTTAAAAGTAGATGGCATGCTTTGAGGTATGTACCTCACCCATTCTTCCTGTCCCCCACCCATCCCGTAAGAGATAATGGACATAACATTCACCTATGAACAGAGTTTCCTTTTCCTGCTCGGCAAGCAATGGAAACCGAGAACCAGCTTAACAGTCCTGTCTTACTCAACAGGTTGCAGCAGTTATGCCTTGCACAGGAGAAAGTATGGGAAATGCAGCTCAGTTTTGTCTCATGTGCATTACATTGATTCTCAGCGACTGTGATGTATCTGGCTATCTGCCTGCACACAGAAATTTCGTTTCCACTACCCTTTGCCTTATTGCTCATGGGGGAATGAAGTGGTTAAGACTGGCTTCTTAACACTGGTTAAGAATATATTAGCACATATACTCACCCCACAGCTGTGATCTTGCTGCACCTTCTTTCTCCTGGTGCACCCTATGGTCAGGAAATGCTAGACATCAGAAGAATTCTGGCCCTACTCACCATTTTCCTTCCAGTTTTTTTTTAAAAAGGAGCACATCTTAGGATAGCTGCTTTTTCGCAGTGGTGGCTCCTCCATGATGCACTGGCATACCTCAATCTCAGCCCCAGCCCTCCCACTGCCTCCTTACAAGAGACAGAAGGCTTCTCTGTACACGTGTATATGTGAATGCCATGGAAATAATTCTCTGTTCGTCCCAGCTCTGCCTACCATTGATTGTTGTGCCTTCCACCCCACCCACCATAATGGGTCTGCCTACCATTGTGCCTTCCACCCCACCCACCATAATGGGCACCAGCCACCAATGGCTCTTTTTGGACTATGGTCATGCTGACTGGGAACTTCTAGGAGCTGTAATCCAAAATAGTAATGTTTCCAAACTAACGTACCCTCTGATTTTCAGCCTCGCTCGGTGGGGGTCTGCCTCTCTCGTCCGTGACTTCGCACCTCTGTCCACACAACTCCACCCCCCCCATTCAAGGTTCCATCGTGACTGGAACTAAAGGGGTTGGACATGATCGCTGCACAGAGGAAGAAAGTTGCATGGTGGGAGGTGGAGTTGCGTGCATGCACAGCTTTGAGGGAACTTTGCTCCAAACTCTATGATGCTGTGAATTCTCCAAGCATCATAAGGAATAGGGTTGTCATCTTCTGTACCTGCAGGACTTCTGTGGCAGGGAAAGTTACATGAGAGAAGCAGTAATGGGTAACCACATTTATCCATTACTGCTTCTCTCTGCTGGCTACTGTTGTACAGTGGTGCCTCGAATTACGAACTTAATCCATCCTAGAAGATGTTCACAAGTCGAAATGTTCTTAAGTCGAATCAGCATTTTCCCATTTCCCAATGCACTGAAACCAGATTAATCCGTTCTGGGGTTTTTTTGTATGTAGAAGCGCTGGTTGTAAGTCGAAGCATTAGTTCCCATAGAAAATAATGCAAAACTGGTTAATCCATCCTCTCCCACTAAGGGAAGAATTTTTTTTAACCTAACATGACTTAGGTTAAAAAAGGGCAGGAAAGGAGGAAGGGAGGGAACATTGGGGAAAAGAGGAAAGAAAGAAGGTCATCATTGGGGCACACAGACACCCCCCCCGACAAAGGTTTGTGCTGTTAAGCACAAAAAGAGAGCAGACAGACACAGACAGAGAAGACAATTGGGGAGGGGGGAGTTCGAAGTCTAAAACACATTTTAAACCCAAACATGCTAAACCCACACATTTTATATCAACACCTTTTAAACCAAAGCAAGCACAGGAAGCATAGAGAGAGAAGACAAGGGGGGGGGAGAGAAACGTGCGTCTAAACTCCATTTTAGAGCACAATAGTCAGCACAGACCTTTGCAAAAAATGTTCTGATTTTAAAACCAAAAGACTGAAATCCATTTTAAAGCACACCAGCCAGCACAGACCCTTGCAGAAAGAGTCTGCAAGACCCACCAGAGCACAGAAACATAACCCCCACCTAGCCCAAACCCAAGCTGCAAAACCCCTGTACAATAAATACAGTGTACTCACCCAGAACAGGCAGCCTCTCTGTTTTAAAAAAGAAAGTAAAAAATCCAAAAATCAAAAATTAAAAAAGCAAAAAAAAAGCAAAAAATAAAATAAAAATAAAAATAAAAATACAGTACGTACAGTGCAGTACCAGGCAGTCTGAAGACTCTCTCTGTATCCACTCTCTAACCACTGGGGTCAGCGAGGTAGCAGACAAGCAGCCTCTTCACTGGCCAACGGTTAATTGAAAGTTCAAATTTCCCACTTTCCCCCTGTTCTTTTTTCTCTTTGTAAGTTGAAGCTCCGTTCGCAAGTTGAAGCAAAATTTTGCAACTGGAGCTGTTCGTAAGTTAAAATGTTCATATGTAGGGGTGTTTGTAAGTCGAGGCACCACTGTATTTGTTAAGCTGCTGCTGGCAATGTCCTCTGGAAAGTCAAAGGAGACTTAAAGAATGAAGATGACAACTCCTCAGAGGAACAGCTTGCTTACCAAGCATCTGCATATCAACTAAAGCCCCACATATGATTCAGAGGCCTTGTTGCAGTAGTGCTCTCAAGGGCTCAGGCAGCTAACTCAAAGTTGACTCAGCCTTCCATCCTTTGAAGGTTTGTAAATTGAGTCCCCAGCTCATGGTGTGTGTGCGTGCACAATGTGTAGCCTGCATTATTAAATTGTAAACCACCCAGAGAGTGCTTTAAGTGCTATGGGCCAGTATAAAGGTAAAGGTAAAGGTTCCCCTTGACAATTTGTCCAGTCGTGTCTGACTCTAGGGGGCAGTGCTCATCTCAGTTTCCAACCAAGAGAGCTACTGTTTTGTCCAAAGACAATCTTCCGTGGTCAAGTGGCCAGCATGACTAGACACGGAACGCTGTTACCTTCCCACCGAGGTGGTACTGTACCTATTTATTTACTCACATTTACATGCTTTCAAACTGCTAGGTTGGCAGGAGCTGGAACTAGCGATGGGAGTTCACTCCGTCGCGTGGATTTGATCTTACAACTGCAGGTCTTCTGACCTTGCAGCACAGAGGCAGTTTAACCCGCAGCGCCACCACATCTCTAAGATGGGCCAGTATGATAGTAGGCATCCTTCAGTCTCGAAAGACTATGGTAGCGTGCTCTGTATGGAGGACTTGGAACAGTGTCTAGTGTGGCTGAGGAGACAAATTCGAGAGTTACAATCTCTTCCACACTGAAGACAAATCCAATCTGTCCCCTGTCCAGCTCCCTGGTTTTGCTTCCTTTGTGACTTCCTCTTTGCCTCGGCCTGCTGGACAAGGGTCTCTTCAAATTGGGAGAGGCCGTGATGT